CTAAGCAGGGTGGGCCTGGTTAATACTTGGATGGGAGACCACATAGGAAGACCAGGTGCTGTAGGAGTAAAAACTAAAAAAAATAAGGGATTATAAGCTGACAAGGTCCTTGCAACCTGTGAGGTCAACCAAGGGTTGCCTCGCCCAAAAAGCAAATAAAATAAATTAAAAATAAATAAATAAAATGAAGAACAAAATTCTCATCCTACAAACTGGGGCACATGGGAAAACTGGGTCTTTGGGACTTGAGGGCAAAGACCCCATTAATAGAATAGAGGAATACACAGGGGGTTGCTTTGTACCAGAATGTCTCGGGAGCTGGGTGGTAAGCACTGGGATCCCATGTCATGATTCATCAAACTGGGAGAACTGAGTCTAGTGGAGAGATCATAGGTCAAGATGTGAAAGAAGAATAAGTCAGGTAAAATGAGACTGAGGTAGAGAGTGATGAGAAAAAGTGACTTTTTCACAACAGGTAGTGGTTATAATTAAAGACAAGAGCTAAGCAATTCTATTGGTTGTTTAAATCTGGCAAAAGAATAATCAAGTGTTTTGAACTTTAAGAAATGCTGTCTACTGATAATCTTTGACAAAGATTGTAAACAGAGACAAGAGCTGCTATAAACATACTTAGATCACTATTTCTGTGCATATTTTTAGTTAAGTAAACCGACGGTCTTGGATCACGTCCTTACATTTTAGTTTTAGAATCTTCTCAGGTGCCGGAGTTGGTGTTCAGAGGGATGCACTCCAAGTTATTGAAAGAGTTGGGCTTCTAGCTTCCTAAAGACCTAAGAAGACAGCTGAAAGATGGCTAAAGGAGAACTAGGAAGTATAAAGAGGGCTTTGGATTATATTTTCCAGATAACAGTCCTTTGATCAAATCCTTTTATTTGTCAACATTGAGAGTTTGCTTTAGTTTGGTGGCACAAACATTTCAAAGGTTGCTCTTGGCAATCTGAAACATGGATCCAAAGGATATCTACATATTTGGGGCATACAGAAACCATAGGCTTTTAAGACCGAAAGGGATTTTAAAGGTCATCAAAACTAAATTGCTTCATTTTACAACTGAGAACGAGGCCTATAAAAGTTATGTGACTTGCTTAATGCTAGAGCATGAATGGTGGTGGGGCCAGGACTAGAACCTATGAAATGAATTTCTAGTCCACTATTGTTTCCACTACTATGCCTACCTCAGATGACGACCCAAGCTTTCAAACAACAACTTTAATCAATTCGTTCTAATTTTCAAATCAATTTATTATTTCCTATGATAATTTATAATGAGCAAATTCAATAACGTTGATGCTATTTTTGTCATGTCTTTCTGTACAAACTCAAAATGTATCAAGTTTCCTACTTTAATCTTTGACTGTAGTGATGAGTTTGGGCATAGCATTTAAAAAGTATATTTGCTGAGTTCTTTTAAAGAGATTAAATATTTTTTTTCAGTTTTCATGGTGAAAAAAGACTGTGGATTTTTATCTTATAGGGCAAGAATTTGAGTAATCAACATGAAAACTTTATTAAATATTTTTTCCTTTATCCAAAAGACATAAGAGGAAGGAAGGAGAATCCTGGTCTCTTTTCATTTTGGTCAAATTCTTGTGATTTCTGCTATGTACGTGAACTATGACCATATGCGAAAATGGTCTGTTTTAGGTCAACGCTGCGGACAGAGATTAATTGGTGAAAAATGGGCCTGTTTGTGGGATTTACCACAGAGTAAGGTTTCTCATCTCCCTGGAAAAATGTGGAATTAGCTCTCTGAGAAATGCAGCCCTGTCACGAGGCTGAAGGAAGAGTTTCGGTGGAGGGAAACACAGTTCACTCTCTAAGGCAGTTTTGATTGGTAGGATTCCAGAGCAGTCCCTTTGGTGCGGCGAAGTTCTTCCCGGTTTCAAGTTAGTGTTTCCTACACGTTGCTAGTTTCACCAGTATTTCATGAATCTCATCTTATCTGGCTTCTTTCACGGCCAACCGATCCAAACTGGGCAATGGTCTTGCAGAGGACTCCGAATCCTTTCTCCCTCCTTTCCAGAACATGCTGTTACAGTGAAATAGGATTCGATGTGGAAATAACTTTTTCGACAGCAGGTTTCCTACGCTTGTTGAGTGGGATACAGATGTGAACCAGTGGGTATGCACAGCAAGGGGGCAAAGCGGAGGATGAGGTGTTAGTTCCTCGCCTGTGAAGATGGTTCTTGAGGAAGACTAATTCTATTATCTACTTGGATGCTCCAGAGAACACCCCACGTGCATGCTCCTTCCTAGGAGCCACTGCAAGAGTCCTTGCCTGCTGCATAGCCCAAATATCCACATTGCTGTTGAGGACAGACTTAGCCACAATGATGAGGGTTAATTCGCCATGCCCATGGTGGTGGCTGTCCCTTAGCAGGTCACACAGCTTGGCTGGGACAGTCCAAGGGCCCACTCTGAACTGGGATGAGGTTAGAGGCGGGATCTGCCGCCTCCCACCTCAATCGGTTTCCTTACTAGGCACTCTCCATGGGGACCACAACCGTAATCTTTCCCCAAGACCCCAATGGTGACCTTTCGGAGCCTGGCTGGCTGTCTAAGACTTATCCTCAAAGGGAACCCGCGCGCGCCTAGGGTCGCAGGATGGTGAGCTTGCTCTCTTTCCACCCGAAGAGGACCCCGCGCGTCTCTCCTAGCCCCGTCGGGTGTTCGGGCGGCCGCGGCTGCGCTCTCCCCGGTCCCGGCGACCACGTCCCCAAGACCCCAATGGTGACCTTTCGGAGCCTGGCTGGCTGTCTAAGACTTATCCTCAAAGGGAACCCGCGCGCGCCTAGGGTCGCAGGATGGTGAGCTTGCTCTCTTTCCACCCGAAGAGGACCCCGCGCGTCTCTCCTAGCCCCGTCGGGTGTTCGGGCGGCCGCGGCTGCGCTCTCCCCGGTCCCGGCGACCACGGAGGGCTGGCGC